TGCTGGTATCTCTTCAGTCTTCGCTGAATTTCCCGAATTTAATGTTTCCTCGCCAATGTTCCTGAAACATACAAGTGAAGAAGAAAAACTTTCATTTTGATATCTTATAAAAAACAACTGAACTATATTAAAGTTTAAATTGGAAGGGTTATATTTTTAGGAGTGACTGATTTTTTGGGATAGAAAGTTTTAAGCTTTCTAATACTCCATCTTGATACAAAAAATTGTGGGAATCTTCCTAAGAGAGGAAGAAAGCAATCAATTTCAAAAGAAGTAACTTTCAGACACAAACTGGAAGAAAAAGCCATCCTGAAATAGCTACTTTCATATAAACATTGAATTAAAAGAAAGAAAAATTCTTTCGAAACGAATACTTTTGTATGAACACTGAATTATACAAAGAACACTTTTCTCTACTCAGTTTCTATTCCAAACATTCGTTATGGAATTTGGTCAGATATTAATCGCAGGATTTCTACACAGTATACTGAATGAATGGTAAAAATTTCACTAACATGGAACACTGTTACTTCTTTGAATTGTTTCCTTCCTTTCTTTGGAATATTCCCACTTTTTGTATAAAGATGGAGTAGTAGAAAGCCAAAAACTTTCTTTAACAAAAAATATAATAAAGTATAGGACATTAACATTAAAATTAACAGTTCAGAACGATCAAATGTGCTCATAAAAGAAGATGTATGCATCTCCACTCCACAGGCGATTTTGGTGAAATTGTTGCTGTATAATGCAGATATTATTTCAAACCTTGCTATAAATGAATCCTCTGGATATGATAAACTTTCATTATACGCTATTGAATATGTGAGATCAGAATTGGTCTCAATTATGATGAAAATAATCAACAAATCCTTCAAATCTGGTATCTTTTCCAGAAACTGTAAAATTGCATGTTTCTCCTACATTCAAATCCGGTAGCAAAAGTGATATGAATAATTATAGGTCCATTTCGGTTCTTCCTATATTTTCAGAAATTATCGAAAACGTCATGAATAATTGGTTGACAGATTATTTTGAGTCAATAAATTGTTTGTATTCAGTTGAATATGGCTTCAGCAGATCGAGTGATACTGAGTCTGCAGTAATGGATGTTATTTCTAATATTCAACAATGATTAGATAGATATTTGAAATGTGGTCGATTATCTCTCGATTTGTAAAAGGCATTCGACACAGTTAATCATAATATTTTATTGAAAAAATTGAATAGCATTGTTATTCGAGGGTTTATTCATTGATGGTTTGAAAATTATTTATCTAACAGAAAACAGTTTGTATGTCTAGGAAAAAAATGATAGTTTATGGAAAACTGTCACTTGCGGTGTTTCACAAGGGTCTATTTTGGGTATCATTTTCATAAACTCAAGATTTTTCAAGATTATTGTTGGAAGGAAATATTAAATTAAACGCGGATGACACAACAGTACTTTATTTTTCCAGTGATACTAATGCAATTTACAATAACATAATAAATGGCATTATATTGCTAACTTCCTGGTTAAATTACCATAAATTGAGTTTTAATTATGGAAACTCTTCTTTGAGAACAAAATCATAAACAGAGAGAATTTGGTTTTCAACAACAAAATTATCAAATATTGTCAAAATGCAAAATTGTGAGTACTATACATGGATGAAAATCTCCGTTGGAATACCCATATTGAGATGTTAAAAAAAAATCGGACCAATTTTAGGAATATTTTTCAGGATTCGAAATTTCATTATGATGAAATATTCCAAATGTATATATTTCTATTTGATATAGTCGAATCTACAATATTTAATTTCAATTCGGAGAACAGCGAATTCATCAATGGTAAATCCTCTGAGGAGACTGTATGGATCTACTAAATGGCAATAATATCTACCTTTCAACTTTTGTTGACAGCAATTTGTATACAATTGAATGCTGTTCGCTATTCAATAGCTTCTTCAGAGTGATGAAGCGGGTGTATAGCAAAACATAATAAGGTGTTACTTGAATACAAAGTGTAGTAATTTCAGTAGGAGAAAACAAAAGCCACTTTTCTCGTGACTGTTTTTCATGAAAGAGCTGAAATGAAATAAATAAATGAAAAGTAAAACTCACGAAGTGAAATAATAGCAAAAGCTTGGTTCATTGTTCAGATTAATTTTGACTAGCGACTCGCCCCGGCTCCGGACGAGTGCAATGCTGATACTAAATATATATTTATGGATGCACCTTTTTTTACCGCGGCTGGCGCTCCAGTTGAAACATTTAAAAATCCATTCTTATTGCACATCTACAACAAAAACGAACCTACATACAAAATTTCAGTCTCCAAAAATATAGCGGTACGGATAAACAGTGATGAATAGATAATCTTCATCTGTAAACGCGCCCCTATTACCACAACGGGGGGTGCCCTAATTGGAATACTCAAGAATCCTTTCTTAGTGCGAATTTAAGACCTAAGAAGCACCTATGCAGGGTCTTTCACGACGAGCTCTCGTTAGGAATATATAGAGAACGATTCAAAATACAAAATTGAAATTTTGTGGTAGTGGGTTTTATAAAATGGCCTTCTCAACTAGAATATTTTGAACTTCCGTTATCTGTACAGGGTGGGCGAAATTTCCACCTTAAACATAACAACGAGAAAACTGAAGAAACACGATTTTTTCAAATGGAAACCATACACTATTCTATTATTTTTGGATACTACGAGAAAAAAAGATATCAAATTCATGAAGAATGTCCTATACGTAAAATACACACCTGGCAAGATATATCCGATTTTGGGAAATATTTGAAATGCAAATCATTCGAAGCAATACTAAACCAAGAAAGCTTTGAAAACAAATGAACTAATATTAACTCTGTCGTTGGTAAAAGGTAATTTGTTTGAATTCAAATAATATTGTGGTTCATTTCAACAGATGTTCAAAGACATTGCCATTTTGTTCTAAATAAGAATATATTCTTTTTTGCATACCACTATTTGTAGCTTTCTGTATGGAGTCAGGAATCAAATTATTGAAAGCTCTCAGAACCCTTCGTTTCATGTTTTCTTTCTCACTGACAGGACCGGCATAAACATTTCCTTTGATAAATCCCCAGATGAAGAAGTCGAGTAGGGTCAGGTCTGGAATGCGAGAAGGACATTTAAATGGTTCATTGTAGCAAAGCCACTGATCTTCGAGCATCCCATTCAACAACCCAGCAACGGTATCAGTACCATGTGAAGGGGCTTCATCCATCTGATATCATAACTTGAAACGGTATTGTTCAGAAACATGCCTTATGGATTCACCAACCGCATTCTTAATTATATGCGAATATCTATCGCTATTCAAATTCTCTTCATAAAGATATAAACATAAAATTCGGTCTTTCTTTGTAGCGCAAAAAATATTAAAACTCCATGAATCCTGGAAGTTGCGCTGGCGAACGAGCTTTGGATTTTCTGCTGCCCAAAAATGACTATTATGGCGGTTGTACATATATTTTTTGGCAAATTTGGCTTCATCTGTCCATATCATGTTCTTCATGAACTCAGGGTCCTCCTGTATCTTGATAAGAAACCATTCGCAGAATTCCACTCGTGCAGGTAAGTCGTGAGGTTTCAGATTTTGAACCTGGTCATATTTAAAGGGACGCCACTTATGTTTGATTAAAATCCGGTTTATTGACGAACATGAAATTTCAAGTGACTTTTCTGGGTCTTTCAACGAATTAAGTCTTCTCAGAATATTTTTATTGGGTCTGTGTAGATTTGGAAATCTTTCTGCAAAAACACGACAAGTTCTGTCCATTATCTTATTGCATTCACCATAAATGATTATTAAATTTAGGAAATCTTCATTAGAATACCCCAAACGAGACATTTTGCACACAAATAGAAAACTACGAAATCATATCGCATCAAATTTTGACATATTGTAACTTCATTTGTTTTCAAAGCTATCTTGGTTTTGTATTGCTTCGAATGATTTATATTTCAAATATTTCCCAAAATGGGATATATCTTGCCAGGGGTGTATTTCAGGTATAGGACATTCTTCATGAATTTCAGATCTTTTTTTTTCGTAGTATCTAAAAATAATAGAATAGTGTATGGTTTCCATTTGAAAAAATCGTGTTTCATCAGTTTTCTCGATGTTATGTTTTAGGTGGAAATTTGGACCATCGTGTAAATTATTTTCGAAAATTCGATGGACCTGTTCATGACTTGATGCTTGAGGTATGATTCTGTGAAATTTCTCATTTTTAACTGTTACTGTCTATGAGTTATCATTGTTTCGGAGTGGTACTGTAATTGTCAAATTTTCAGAAAAAAATTAATATCTCGAAAACTAATAAATTTGGGTATAGGTATTCTTTTACAAAATGGGACAAAAATGTGCTGGGAAATTGAAAAATGGATTGAAATACAGGGTGTTTTATTTGAAACAAGGAAGTTGCCTTCAACTTCCGGTATAACGGAAAGAGACTGGAAGTTTAAAATATTCTAGTTGAGAAGGCCATTGTGTAAAACCCACTACCAACAAATTTCAAGTTTTTATTTTGAATCGTTCTCCATATATTCCTAACGTACCCTGTATATCCCTGTACCCTGTATATAAAATTTTATCTTTCAAGGACTTACCAGTACGGAGAAGCAGAGATGAATGAGTGTTGAGTGTCTTTTGCATTTATGAGTATAGATTGAACAGCAATTGAAAATAGCATATTATTGATATCTTTAATTACGATTTCATTTAGTTGAGCAATATACAATATTTATCCTTTGAAAATGAAGGACTGCCGAAATGTCTTCGGTACAGCTACTGGATAGAAGAATGCCGTGGTATTTTTGCAAACTTCTTTTGGTGTTGCCGGTTTCTAAATGAGAATGTCAGTCTACTCCGATGGCCTAAGTAACCCCGATTCACTTTTTAATTAAAAAAAAATGAATGTTGAACAATTTTGTTATGGAACGTCTTTTCAAATATCTTCAAACATTGTCGAATATGTTTTAGCCAAATTCCACTAGTTGCGGGTGTGTAGACTGCCCTGCCAATTGCGATACTAACTCATTCAATGCTATCGACGACACATTCTTGCTGTTTGGACAATTTGAAAGCATTTCCTTTGCTATATCAATATTAATATTAATTATGGGATTAGCTACTACCGCAGCTACAATAGTATTCGGGAGCACGTTACGTGGAATTTGTCGATGTCGAAAAATTGGTAAGTATAGAAAACAAAAAGGTACACTTCATTATATATATTCAAAAAAAGCTTTGTGTTCTTCTAACTTGTACTTTTTTATATTTTCTCATTCTCATTACCTCTTTTTCTTTTTCTTCCTAGTTTTTTCCATATGAACGTTAAACAAAAAATTGAGAAAGAATGAAAATACAATAAGAGAACAAATTTAAAACTAGGCTTCTTCGTGCCCATAGTCGTCTTGTTGTGATAACTGGAATATTTCTGACACCTAACCAACTACTTCAGAAACTGTGAAGTATCACCAAACTCAGGCTACCAAACTAATATAACTACTCAAAGAATAATGATTTACTGTATACCGTGTGAACGTCTATGTTGTTAAAATTAGAGACCATCAAAGGTTCATATCACCGAGCCCAAGATCAATTCCCATTGAGAAAAAACACCAAATCTAAAATAACCGAGCATTTGTGGATCCACCAACATAAATACCAACAAGTGATCCGAAGCGAAATACGGGAAGAAACACTGGTTTGAAAGGAAATTTAAAGAAGTTGCGTACATTCTGAACAATAGAACATGTAGCCAGTCTAGTATGAAGATCCACAACATATGCAATCCTCTAATCACGTGGGAACACGAACTACAAGGCACTGAAACGGAAAACCGAAGTGACACAGGAAAGATGAGGAAGTAACCTATGAATAATCTCGAATTATCAAGAACCCGACTGTTGACCAAGTAGTTTGGTCTGAAATCTCCTTTCTTATTTTATTGACTTTTTTGGGGGGTATTTCTAAAGTTTTCTACAATCTGAAAAAATAAGAAAATTGCAATGAAGAACTTTATAGCAGTGTAAAAAGAGCAATCATTTCAGTTCCCCCCCGTGAGTTACTGCGTAATTTTGTTGTGTTTTTCACAACGAGAAATTATATGGATATTTATCGTGATATTTCGGAAGCTGAGCACTGCATCTTCATTTGCCGTCAAATATAATGATATTTGCATTTTTTTTTCGTTGGTTCGCTTTATTTTCAAACCCCCGCACGTTCGTTAAGAAGCTGGAATTATTCGGTTCAGTTTGAATAGGTGTGAACTCTTGCGGGTTGATTTATTTCTAGTTCAGATCACAGTAAATTATTTTCTTCAAAAATAAGATTTCTACTACATTGCCTGCCAAATGTTTAGGTCTCCTCATTTAAATTCAATTTAAGTTTCAAAGGATCACATTTTCATATACAAATATAGGCCCAGCGCTCTACTTGAAATTATATAAGAAGTGTTGAGAAGTATGTTCTATCTTCATCATAGAAAATTTATTTAACTCATTGAATGAAATAATTAACAGTCTGTATACAGCAAACATGTTTTGTTTTAAGTACCTTGCCTTCCACAGAAATAAGATTGTAAGTACGCTACTGGATACATACCTAATACTTATACAAGACAGAAAACAATGCAGATATGTCATGAAATGTTTAAAATGACGAAAGTTCATTGAAATGTTACATTTGTAGGCCTTGCGATTTTCAGAGGACGCAATTTCATTTTTTTGATGCAGGGAGGGTTAGTATAAGCTCAAGTTCAAGTTTGTGGCGTCGCAACTCTTGTCCCCCAGTCTTGGAAAAACGGTGCAAAGGGTTTTCACGCCGTATCTCGTAAACTAGAAACCCTACAGAAAATTTTATAGGACATTATTTGTAGCAATATGAATTGCCTACAACTTCATTTCTTTCACATTCTATCGTGAAATGGAAAATAAAAAAATTATAAACAAAAATAACTGAACATTTTTGAACAAATTTCCTTTTGGGCGTTATAACTTCTTTGACGGTCATTTTACAGTAAAATGTCATTGAAGCAATCTTATAGAGTGTTTTTCAACAAATAATTTCCATTACTTTATTCAACTTCATTGTTTTCCTAGGTTTTACAGCGCTCCGAAGTTAACCGGGTTCACTTTCAAAACAAACAACTTATGCATGCATATTAAGAATAACAAAGATAAAAGTTCAGTTTCAGAAAAATCAGGAGTGTATAAATTATCGTGTGGGTAATGTCCGATGTTTTATATAGGTTAAACCGTATAAAGGAACACAAATATAGTTTCCAGAATGGAAGAATAAATTCCACATATGCCACTCATTTAATCACAGAGGGACATCAGTTCAACCATGAATACAAGCCCCTCCATTTCCACAAGAAAGGTTTGAAACTTAACCTGTCGGAGAGTATGGAAATAAACAAATTCAAAAACTGTCAATATCTTATGAACGATCGAACTGAATTAAATGATTGGCCATAATTGAATCTGCTCATTTTCAGGTAAAAATAGTTAGGTATATTTACGGTACTTTCGAAAAATGTATTGATATAGTTAATGAATTCATACCTGACCTTTTCAGGTAGATTCATTTACTAGGCATACGAGCAGGTAATAGGTTAGAGCATAAAATGGTTGTTATTTAGAAGTAATTTTTAGTTTATGCTTGACGAAGCTATTATATAGCGAAACATGTGTCGCGGTTTTTGTAAAATCCTTTATAGTGAAAATCATACAATGAATTTTATCAATTAGTTTTTAATATGGATTTTCATCAAGTATCCGCCAGTTCTATCCAATTAACCGGGTTCTTGAATACTCGGAAGAATACGATAAAAACGCACCAATAGGCTTAGTTTTTATTCATATAATTTATAATTTTTTCAACACTCCTATGTTATTATTGATTCATTATCGACCCTTTATCCCACCACCTGTGAGGTAGTCTAGAGACGCGTTGTTTAGGTGATATCCCCAGTAGGCCTAACCCACGGAAAATTTATAAGAGAGATGATATTGAGCATAATTATACAGGGCTATTCAAATTCGTTTCTGTACATGGGGATCTCGTAAACGATAAGAGATAGAGTGTCGGTTAAATTATGGCAAAGTTGCGTATTTTAGAGACCTATTCAATGATGTAAAGAAATCGGATATAGCTCTTTTGGTTCTGGAGATATACAGGAAAAACAAAAAAATCCCAAATTAATTTTTTGCCTATATCATCTTTATTCGCAGACATATTGAAAATCTGTTCACATTTTGCTATTGGCACTTGATGTGGACTCTCAGAATATATTCATGAATCTTTTATACAGGTTGTCATCTGACTTGGGTCACCCCCATCTTTGAATTTTCAAATACGGACCTGTATTTTTTGTTGTAGTTTTTAGATCATTGACGTTCACTTCATACTGAGAAATTGAATTAAATTTTATATTTCGGGATTTTCCGGTAATATTCGATTATAATTGTGTGAATTATTCCCTTTCAAATTACGGCCCTGAAAATTGGTTAACTAAGTCGAATAAAAACACAATAGCAACTTTCACGTCTCTCTATGTATCGTACAGTTTTTCGAGAGTTTTTTTAATTTTTAGATACCTACTCATATTTTGCCATTGCTCTGAGCGTTTTCTACAATGAACTCCGAATAAGAAAACCTTTCATGATTATCTGAAACATATCTACAACAAAATATATTATATGGGTTTTGATGAGCAGAAAAAAAAATGGTAGCAATAATAACATCCGAAACGAACACTATAATTATAATGAAAATTGAAATGAAGTAAGTAATTTATATACACAAAAAATTAATTGTGCAATAACTGATCAAATTGGAGTTCTTCCATTTCGAGACAAATAATGGAACAATAAAATGGTCTGCAAGACCACCAGATCTTACTATTCTGGACTATTTTCTATGGGGGACATTGAAAAATAGGATTTACGCTGGCAGAGAGATAGAAAATGTGGAAGACCCGAGATTAAGGATTTTGAATGATTTTGCAACAATGCAGCAAATAAGTGTATTAAGGGCAATAAACAATATGAAAAACCGACTTTGAAAATGTCTCGAAATGAAAGGAATTCAATTCGAACATTTATTGCGCCAATAATTTTTTTGGGTACCTATATAAATTACTTCATTTCAATTTTCATTACAATTATAGTGTTCGTTTCGGATGTTATTATTGCTATCATTTCTTTTTCTGCTTATTAAAACACATATAATATATTTTTGATGTAGATATGTTTCAAATAATCATGAAAGGTTTTCTTATTTGAAGTTCATTGTAGAAAACGCTCAGAGCAATGGAAAAAATATGAATGGGTACCTAAAAATGAAAAAAAACTCTCGAAAAACTCTACGATACATAGGGAGACGTGAAAGTTGCTATTATGTTTTTATTCAACTCAGTCAACCAATTTCCAGGGCCGTAATTTAAAAGGGAATAATTCACACAATTATAATCGAATATTACCGAAAAATCCTGAAATATAAAATTGAATTTAATTTCTTAGTATGAAGTGAACGTCTACGATCCAAAAACTACAACAAAAAATATAGGTCCGTATTTGAAAATTCAAAGATGGGGGTGGCCCAAGTTAGATGACCCCTGTATAAAAGATTCATGAATATATTCTGAGAGCCCACATCAAGTGCCAATAGCAAAATGTGGACAGATTTTCAATATGTCTGTGAATAAATAAGATTATTTGGTTTTTCCTGTATATCTCCAGAACCAAAAGAGCTATATTTGATTTCTTTACATCATTGAATAGGTCTCTAAAATACACAACTTTGCCACAATTCAAACGATACTCTATCTCTTATCGTTTACGAGATACCCAGGTACAGAAACGAATTTGAATTGCCCTGTATATTCAAAAAGTTGTTTTCCAGCTATTGTTTTTTAATTTTCTTTGGTGGTCCTGGCTGCGGTTTGGGATCTAATTCACTATCGGAGGTTAATTTTTGCAGAATAACGGGAGTTAGGATTATCGTCATTGTAGGTAATTCATCTTCGCATTAATTTTCTTCGATTAATTTTGATATTTCCATGATATTACTGCAGGTTTCACCAGAACAATTGGGGCTCACTAAAGAGCATTTGGGGCTTGCTTTTCGGCAACCACACATATTTCTACAGGTTCCCTTGCATCTGCAGAAAATTAATTTCAGAAGTTCGTGAGGTGGAGGCTCGGAAGTTAGGATTGGTATCCAAATTTTTCCATGCTTCTCCAGCCCCAATTTTCAGGACAACAGTGATTGTCGAGCCACGACTCAACCTGGTGATGAACTCGGAGACTGTAAAAGCGGGCTGCATCTTTTGTTGGAGAAAGCGATGATAAGTTAAATGTATTTTTGGTTACTGTCTTGGCGAATAGTTTGTATCTTATACTGTGCAGAGAATCATCTTTATTCACACCATATAAAGAAGATGACAATACATCAAAAATGAGAATTGAAACTTCCTATGTTTCTATACCACGTTCATTCGTAACTAACGTTACAGCAGTTTCGTTGCCACGCTTTACCACGTTTTACCACGTTACATCCATCAATCGGTTGAAAAAATGTTCGCCACCGATAGTGAGCCAAGTTTGCTTGACTTTCTCATTGATAAATAATGCTATTCAGCTAGTTAGGTTAGGTTAGGGCCAGAGTGAGTGTGTCTATTCGACCCTCCACCGCAACCCGTAAGGGTTTATTGTGGCTCAGAACTATTCACACTCGACCAAATAAGCCCAGCTCTTTCGAACTCTCAAAACCTGATTTGGTCCCCAGCGGGGCAGGCACAAAGTATATGCCCTGCTGGACTGCTCCCTTCCTAATGCCGTGAGCAAGACAAGAATCTCAATGTCCTCTGCTACGATAGTCACGGAATCATAGGATTGGGATGCAGCAAGCGCAGAACGCTTGCTAATACGCTAATAGAGCAGTTTTGAGAAGATCTATTGGGTTCGCTTTGTTCTTTTCATTACCAAGTAATTTATCTTGGAAAAATGTAGGTTCGGTGTTCTTATCGAACTTTATCTTTCTCGATTGATGCTTTTTCGTGTGACGCAAGCACTTCCACGACTTTGTTCCTGCGATATCAGGATTTCCGTAGTAGCCATCAAATTTTATACTTGCAGATTATCCGTAGTGATTATGTACGCTGTAAGACCAAGATAAATGTATGAAAATGAACAAATTTGCAGTGTAAATTATTCGTTGAAAAACCCCCTATATGATTGTTCTGAAGTTATTTTGTTATTAAATAACCAGAAAAAAAGTTATGACGCCCAAAAGATATATTGTTCAAAATTTTTCAGTCATTTTCATTTTCCATTTCACGATAAAAAGTAATATGGATGAGGTTGTAGACAATTCAATTCGCTACGAATAGAATTTTCTATAGGTTTGCTAATTTACGAGATACGGCCAAAAACCTTTTTCATCCTTTTTTCCAACACTGGGGGACAAGGGTTACGACCCCACAAACTTGAAATTCATCTGAAAATTTTTTGCCAAAAAAATTATCCTATCAAATTTGTCTATTTCTAGTCATGTGTGTCGAAATAACCAATGAAACCATCATTACACTGATTACTACCCATGGATAGTTTTCACGGGTAGTTATCACATTTTCACCGAATATCCCTCGAACTCATAATTTTATCACAACTTCCTCAAGCACGTTATTTTAGGTAACATCCCTCCGCCTTCGGCGTCGGGATGTTACCAAATAACGTGCTTTCGAAAACTGTGATAAAATTATTTCGTTAGTTATCAATGTCCTTGGGTTATTATAGCTGATACTAACCCCCCTATACATCAGAAAAATATAATTGCGTCCTCTGAAAAATACAACCTTAAAGTTAACTATTCAATGGACTACTAGAAATCCCTTGCAAACAATGATAAAAATCGGAATAATTTTTTTGGGAGCCAGAGTAGCAAAAAACATCCATGCAGGAATCACTCCTGAAGCTAACTTCTCAGGATTTCATCAGAAAAAATGGAAACAACACACAAAATAATAAACAGCTCAGTTAAATCAATCAAATTCAAAATATGTAGCACATCCAAATTGGAGGTATTCCGGACCTGAAAATACCTAAACCAAGAAATATTCAGGAAAGAAACTGCTTCCGTATATAAATGAGAAATGAATTCGCATTTATTGGAGACTCAAAGTTTTAATTTCCCATTGATTTATATAAAAATCAAGTTTCATTTCCTTTTTCTTTGTATTCTATTCATGATTGAAGTTATTTTTCTTCATCAAAAACGACATTGTCTTTGTGGTTTTCTGATCCAATAACAGAAAGCGATGTCTTATCCCAGCAGGACTCATCAGTGGTCCTAAGCTGAACCACTTTACTGCCCTACAATAGACAAGTCAGAAGATATTTTTTTTGTAAATCTGTTTGTGTTTTCATGCATACATTACTTATGTGATTGAAATACTTCTCCAATATATTTTGCAATCGACCTTTCTTTTTTAGATAGATGTCCGGGAATAATGAAGAAATATGGAGACAAAATCCACCAAAATTTGGAAGAAGCATTCTACATTTTAGGCAGAGGTGAGTAGAAAGTTTACTTGTATTCGGAATTAGTTTGTTCACCGTACACGTTTCCTCATTAGTTGTATGGTGTGAATGTCAACCGTAAGAAGTATGTATATACATATTTGTACTGTTATCCGTCATGATACGATTGATATTGTATACGTGCATTGAAAATGCATTTAAGATATCACTTCGAGAAAGACATCCTGAATGTCACAGGATGGGTTGAAGGAAGATTTGAGAAAACAGGCAGTGTCAAGCATGGGAAAAGGCAAGTAGTAAATAAAATTGCGACAAATGAAAAGAATAAATTAGTGATGATGCTTTCAACATTTGAAAATCCTCAAATGAGTACGAGGGAAATCGCAAGAGAGTTGATCAAAAATACGTTTATCAGAAATAACGTTCATACATACCGAATTGAATTACATCAAGAACTCTATGAAATGGATTATGATACCAGAGTTTGGTATTGCGAAAAATTTTTGATTTCATATAGCGAAGAACCAAATATTTAGAAAAATGTTGTTTTTTCTAACGATCTACATTTAAATGTGATGACATGGTAGGCAGATATAATTTGCAATACTACTCAACAGAGAACCCTCATTGGATGAGAAAAGTCGATAACCAGAACAGATGGTCATAGTTCATATTACCATATTTCTTTGATGGGCCTCTGAATAGAGAAATTCATAGATTTTTTTTCGAAGTGATTCATCGAATCTGTTGGAGGATGCACCAATTGACACAAGGCATACGTTATACATATTACCAACATGATGGCGCGCCTCTTCAAGACCAAAATCGGGTAAGGAGGTTTTAGTATAGGTTGTTGTTGTTGGGAACAACAATTTGGGCATGCACATTAAAAATAACAAAGATAAAAGTTCAGTTTCAGAAAAATCAGGAGTGAATAAATTATCGTGTGGATCATGTCCGATGTTTTATATAGGTCAAACTGGAAGAACGTTCAAAACCCGCATAAAGGAACACAAATATAGTTTTCAGAACGGAAAAATGAATTCCACATATGCCAGTCATCTAATCTCAGAGGGACATGAGTTCAAACATGAATACGAACCCCTCCATTTCCAGAAGAAAGGTTTGAAACTTCACCTGTTGAAGAGTATGGAAATAAACAAATTCAAAAACTCTCTTATGAACGATCAAACTGAATTGAATAATTCGCCATTATTGAATCTGTTCATTCGCAGGCAAAAATGGTTAGGTATATTTACAGGTAGACTTTCGAAAAATGTATTGATAACTGACTTTTCCAGGTATATTTTTCAGGTATATTTATTACTTAAGTAGACGAATAGGTACTAGGTTATAGTATATAAGGTTGTAATTTAGGAGTAACTCTCAGTTATGCTTGAAGAAGCTATTGTATAGCGAAACACGTGTCGCGGTTTTTGTAAAACCCTTATAGTGAAAATCATAGAATAAACTCGGCCAGTTCTATTCAATTAGAATAGGATTAGAGAAGTTTTTTGTTCTATTACAAAATCAACTTCAATTGAAGTTTGAAGGAAAATTGTTGATAGACTACATTTATGCATAGCTGAAAACGGAAGATTGCTCAAAAATAAATTGTAAATTTGTGCATTTTGAAATTGTTTACGTTACTTGTTTTGTCCAGCACTGAAAAAAAAAGTTATTGCTTCTATCCAATGACTTTTTACTACTTTCCTCAAAAATTAGATACATTTCCGATGAACATGAAGTAGTCAACCCCAACATTTTTTGAAAGCTCATAATATGGATTATTCTGGAATGGCCCTATATACAGGTACATTTGAAAAAACCAAGAAAAACTCAAACCCGAATTTTGTTTACCCCTGTATAGAAAAAGCGCCGTTCGGTGAACCTATGAAAACTAAATGAAGCTAAACTTTCCTCAAGGATATTTAGTTGAAACATTTTCCCATTCCAGTTGATCGGCTAGGAGATATTTGGTGATGAATGAACAAATTTTTCAACATAAATTCCACTATAACTTCTGAACCACTTGGTATATACCCAAACAATCCCCCATATTTGAAAAGCAATCTCAACAAGAAATTCAATCGATTGAAAATGTCTAGAGTATTCCATTGAAAATAACGTTAGTTTGCTCTCTCACACATGTATTGAATACCCTGTATATTAGTAATAATTTTCGAAGCATAGCTTTCATTAGTCTCTACAACTTCTTTCTGGAATGTTGTTATGTGTCTCAAACGATGAAAGAGAAAAATTATTTTTGTCTCATTGAATGAAGAATGTGTCATTCTTATCATTATTCTGAATTTTATGAGTCTGTGAACCTTCTCAGGGTATACCGGGTGATTCTCTAAGGTGGCTCACCCCTATAACTTTTTTATTATTGTAGGTGGAAAAACGACATATGTCGGTTGTTCATTACAGGTCAATTTACATTTTTTGAGATATTCACTTGCTTTGCCGTACTTCTAGTTTGACCGGAAATGACCCCAACTTTCGATTTTTAAATGGGACATCCTATATATTTTTACTTATTTCGATCGAAAATGACATTCTAAATCCAACAATACTTCACTTGTCAATATTTGATAAATAAAATAATGTTTATTTCAATTTTTATTTTTTGATCTAGAATGCCACGGATCGTGTAAATCTCTTCATTCTTGATCAAGTACACCGGAAAACTACGACTTTGAGGTTAATGACTTCACAGTCGTTTTGAGAATTATTCCACAGTCGCAAACATGAATTTTTTCAGTTTACTTGATTTTTCCAAATAGAAATGAGATGGCAAGTCGGCTTTTTGTGAAAGATCATTTTATTACGAATAATTTGATACCACACACTGTCACTCCATTTGCTGAATAATTGCAATAAAGTCGCAAATTAGTTCACTAGGGTTATACATTTTCAAAATGGCCTCCTCCTTGATCACGGTAAAGTTCAACTTTTTCAATTGTTGCGCGCAGACCCCTATTTACCAGTGGGCACTTTGGGCAAGTGCCCAGGGCCCCGCGAACGGTAGGGGCCCCTCTCAGATCAAATACAAAATTCCTAGTTGCTGACAGATAACCAAACGATAACCAATATTTATTAGATACCAAAAAACATATATAATTCGAAGAAATCGAACCTAAATTACTGACTATAATACCAACTTACTAGCTTTAACATGCGCGAAGCTATTCTACTCTCACCCACTTTCCGACTTCAGCCTGCTTAGATAAATTCAAATATATAATGGTATACTAAGGACATATACATTTTAACGAAAAATCATCAGAAGTACACTCATCAGTGTGACTCGCTCCATTTAAATTGAGCGAACGAAGCGAAGTATAAAGCTCTAAGTTTGAATTAATGCTGCTGGGTGTGTATCGGAGGCCACAAAGTTTTTTGAAATGGTTCAGAAAGTGTATAATTTTTTTTCGGGCTCTACTCGTCGATGGAATATATTAACAAAATATTTAGGTTCAAAAAAGGTTGTTAAAAGTCTTTCACAAACCAGATGGTCAGCCCGAGCAGATGCAGTATGGTAATGCATGAAGGTGATGAACAAGTTATAGAAGCTTTGGTATCCATCGCAAAAGATACAGAACAGGCACGATAAACTAGAGTCTGTCCAGAAAAATGGAAAAACTCGAATATATTATACTAATTGAAATTTGAAACTGTATATCGGAAAGAATAGATTTTATTAGTAACCTCAGGGATAAATGTGATCACTTCAAATCGTCTGCCAAAGAAAGAAACCCGAATCTGACTACAAGGACCTATCTCAAAGAACAAAACGCAGAAGTTCACGCCAGTGTTTTTTTGGTGGTTCTGCGCCGTCAGTCCTACTGAATGGAAGAGAGAAATTTAAAATAGAAACCTTTCTTCCCATAATTGATACCCTCAGCGTTCATTTAAAACAGCGATTAAGTTCGTATAAGAATATCAGTAAACGTTTTAATTTATTTTTTCGCTTGAAAACTCTGAATTCTGAAGAGTTGAGACAAAGTTGCAAATAATTTGTTGAATTTTATTATGAAGATGTTAATGAGAAAATGTTAGAAATAGAATGATTGCATTCAACAGAATACTTGAAAATTGTTGACAGTGAAAATGAGGATTGTATATAAAAAATATATCAACTTTTGAAGGAAAACATAATTGAAGACAAATGTAGAAATCGCATTGAGATTCTTTTTAAGCATGATGGTAATCAACTGCAGTAGGGAACGCTCCTTTTCCAAATTGAAAAGAATTACAAATGAATTGAGAAGTACAATGCTTCGAGAGAAATTAACCAGTTTGTCGCTGATGTCGATAGAATCTGATGTGCTAAAAAGCATAAATTATGGAGAAGTGATTTTAAGCACTAACATGTAAATGCTAACAAAGTTACTTTTGTGGGCTATATTTTTATCTATTCGTTCCATGTGATTGTTACTAAAAATAAATATTTCAACTTGTTTATCTATTTTCTTTGTCTATTCTAACAAAATAGTGTTCTATCAAAGTCATAGGGGCCCCATTATCCTATAATGCCCAGGGCCTCCAATAGGTTAAAGACGGCCCTGGTTGCGCCCTTCACATTGATTAGCTGTTCCTCAGTGATGTTCTGGAATGCCACCCTTACTTTATGCTGTAGTTCTTCACGAGTAGCTGTTGTTGTATTGTAAACCTGATTTTTAATTGTTTCCCAGAAAAAAAATTAGCGGAGTAAGATCTGGTGATCTAGAATATGAAAAAGAAAAAATACATTTATGTAAAAATATCACAACTCAAGAATGTAGGCCACTGAATAAGTGCCAATCCACTTTTCTGGGAAGGTGTCATTCCGATGTTCTCTTACGACTTGAGAATTGTGAGGTGGCGTTCCATCTTGTTGAAAATAGATATCAACTTGGTTAACCAGTGACAAATCTTCGATGAAATCATTTATTTGATTTCTTAGAAACTATAGATATCTTTCCGCAGTTGTCCGTCGAAAATTGTTGACACCAAAAGTTTTCCTCCGGTAATACCCATCTAGTAATTGAAATCAAATCGCCCTTGAAAAGTTCCTTCTTGAATCAAATGTAAATTTGTTTGAGACCAGTACCTTTTATTATTCCTATTGAACATACCCAAGTTGGTGAATCGAGTTTCATCTGAATGAATAATTTTAAATGGACAACGTAAATCTTCTCTATATTTAGTCAAAAACCAGTTGCAATAAGTCAATCTTCGGTTGTGATCGTTATCGTAAAGATGTTGGTGTAGTTGGTATTTGAATGATCGATAATTACATTTGTGAAGAATTCTCCAAACGGACCAATAACTTGTATCACACTCAGAAACAATTTGACGAATTGACGCCGTACAATTCAATTCAAAATAGGCCAACATGTCTACGATTAGGGAACTTCTGAGCATAGATTCGAGCTGCATCAGTTGCATTCTTTTTCGTTTCTCCGTAAATTAGCAACATGTCAATTTTTTCCTTTCTGGTATAATTTGCCGTATCTGATTATAAACTTCACAACAAATACATTTTAAAAGTGACAGCATATTCATTAGTCTATTTGTTTAGGTAGTCCTAGAGCAACATCTTCAATTGTCACGATTAACTAGAATAACAGGACTTAGTGCATAAGTATACCGAATACATATTATTTGTTGAAAATAAAGTGGAAGTGTGTGGCATCAAATTATTCGTAAGAAAGTTACCTTTCTCAAAAAACCGACGAGCCACCCCCTTTCCATTTGAAAAAATCAAGTTAACGGAAACATTCATATTTGCGACTGTGAAATAATTTTTAAAATGACTGTGAAGTCATAAGCCTCAAAGTTTTAGATTTCTCATGTTACTTGATCAAGAATGAAGCGATTTACATGATCCATGGCATTCTAGATCAAAAATAAAAATTGGAATAAAAATGATTTCATCTGTCATATTTTGACAAGTAGGGTATTATTGGATTCTGAATGTCATTCTCCATCGAAATAAGTGAAAATATATAGGATGTCCCATTTAAAAATCCAAAGTTGTGGTAATTTCCGGTCAAACCGGAAGTACGGCAAAGCAAGTAAATATGTCAAAAAATGTAAATTGAACTATTATACACAACATCCAAATTTCGTTTTTTTATCTCCAATAATAAAAAAGTTATAAGGGTAGAAGAGGGAGATTTGCAAATTCAAACCGAAGGAGGTCATTTTTGTAATTAAAATTGACACACCTAAGCAATTCATCAAAGAATATCACCTGTGTGAAGTAAGTTTTTGGTTTATTTTCAGCTGTGGTGATGAATAGATACAAAGTTTTGGCTGTGTGCGTTGTGGTGATGGTATCTTTAGCAACGGGCAGTATCTTCTTAAAAGTGACTTCCGATCCTGTGGAATTATGGTCTGCTCCAAATAGTCGGTGTCGACAGGAAAAAAAATTCTTCGATGAGAATTTCGGACCATTTTACAGATCGAGTCAAGTTTTTATAAAAACTGTAGGAATTGCACCGGTACGTAAATTTATATACAGGTCGACCCAGCAGGAGATGGTGACACTGAAAATTGCATACCCTATATATTAAAACATTTTTGGACTTCATTCAACATTCCAGTAGTCCAAGATCGCTAAATGTCACGTCTACGTCATTTCAGCATAGTTAATATTTCACACATACTACCTTGTATTAAAAAGGGGTCCTAAGGGGAACTATTGAATAGGGAATACTCAATCATTGAAAAACTATATGATCATGTGATACTGGAAGAAACCAATTAGTTCCAATTACAAAACACTCACAGAACTAGTTGTGGTGTAAATAAAGTCTGTATAATACTCTTATACCTATTTTTACGAGGTATTCAAGGAAATTATTATTTGAATTTGTTTTACTCACATATTAACATCAATGAATTATATGTATAAAATCAAACTAAAGTATATTTTTCAGATTCAATTTGACTTAGAGAACGAAGGAGAAATTACATTAGGACCGGCATTCAATCAGACTTTTTTGAATGAGGTATTCCGGATACAAAAACTAATCGAAAATGTAAGTTAGCTATTGAAGATATTTTTTTTCATTGGGCTTATAGTTTTGAAACAAGCTTTAAAATTATAGTAATACAAAATGAAATCAGTTGCACGTTCCATGGGAACGCATTTTATTAGTCTGTTATTTACCGGCATACTACATCGTATGTAGAACGTGAAAGATCTATGTTTATGTTTCTTCTTATTATGTTATCAAAGGTACGATTGAAACGTCCTGTTCAGAACGAGTCTTGATAAATATACTCTATGCTCTATATGCTCTATGAAAAATTTCCAAGTAATTTAAGGAGCGCTGACAAAATGGCAGCGGAATACTGACATGGAGCCCCCCTCACAGTATATTCCGGCTCCCATTCCAGCTCCTGTTTCAGCTCTCGCCTGTATACCAAGTGTTTCTGTCAAGCATGTGGCAGAAACACTTGGTATACAGACGGGATCTGGAACGGGAGTTGAAACGGGATCTGGAATATACTGTGGGGGGGGGGGAAATCTCTATGTTAGTATCCTTCGCCACTCTTCGTTGTCTGAGATATCAACAACGTAGTTTTTGTCGAACATGTATTTCGTTGGTCGAAAAATATGTTGAATGCTCATTCTTCCACATTTTCTGAAAATTAATTCTGTTTTGCTCGATCTCATGTAGGTCGGTGAGTTTTTCTGTCTGAATTGGTCCAGTCTTGCTTCCTCAATGATTACACGATGTGAAGGAGGATGATTTGAAAGTATATCCAATGCAGCTGTTGAAGTGGTAATCAATACTCCCGTTACATGCAAAGACTTGCATATTCGAGAGCATGTGTATTCCTTTCATCTTTGGCCACCAGATCATAGATGCACATGTTATCATTGGTTAAACCAACGTATTGAAGAGCCAATACATCATGTCTGGTTTCGGTCCCAAAATCTTTCCGTAGGAATGTCCCCCAACAGCTATATATCTCTTCAGCTCTTGGTGAATGCTTTCAGGGTCGATTTAGTTGGGTTTATATTCGGCCCTTCTGGTTTGGTCCAACTTGTTGAGATATTCATCTATATAGCCAAGTACATTGTACCTATTATGGCTCAGAAGACATAATAACGCGTCTATTACAATATTAGATGAGAGTGTGGATAAAACTCGCCCCTGAGCACAGCCATTTGCAACATTATCTGGGTCTCATTGTCTAATATTATTTTTTATAGTAGAAGTCTCATAATTGAAACGAACTTAATAAATTACTCAAACGAACAAAAAAATCAATATTATAAAAACAAGCTTGATGAAGCTGAGGGCAATTGTAAACAAACAAAATCTTTACATAAAACTCCATAATATTGGCATACAAGGAAATGCACTCAACTGACTGAAAACGTTTGTCTCAACACGGAAGCAATATCTCAGTATCATCAATGATAATAATAATGTAAAAATATTATATACATCCAATTATGTGGATATTCGTGTAGGTGTCTCACAGGGATCAGTGTTGGGCCCTATACTTTTTTTATTATGTGTAAATAATATGGAAAACATCTCTATATATACTCATTTTACACTATATGCAGATGACACATCACTGGTTATATCAGATAAAATAGACAAAATCTACAAATCAAAGGTACCTCAATCCTGCAGAAATTAAACACATGATTCATGGAAAATTAATAGCCAGTTTCAACTTGAGAATTGAAGATGATGAAATTTCTTCTTGCTCTGCGGTGAAGTTTTTAGGTGTACACGTGGATGAATTTCTCAACTGGAAAACTCATTGTGGAACAGTTATATCAAAATTCAACTCCATCCTCCGAGAAACCTTCGTAATATTTTAGACCAGAAACAGCTGATTATGCTGTATCATGCTGAAGTTGAATCGTGTCATCGGTATGGTATTACTTTCTGGGGAGCTTAGTCTTCATGCAAAGATGTTTTTGTCGCCCAGAAAAAGGGTATAAGATGTATAGCAGGAATCTTAAGAATTGCAAGCTAAAAAAGCATTTTTTTGAATTTTGAAATAATAACATTGCCATGCCTGTATACAGGGTGTCCCTGGACTTCCTCTTTTCCTCTCGGGAATGTATAGATGGGGTCAAAATATCACCAGTACTTCATATAACTTTTTTTCCTAAAATCCTTCGTTACCAAGTAACGGGCCCTCGAAGTTACAAAATGAAAAATGTTTTTCTTTGATAACTTTTCAAGTGAATATTCAAAATCATCCAAATTTTGG